ACTATTCACACCCACCCAATTACTAACTGCTGATAAATAGTACGTATACTCAACTGAATTACTACTAACTTAATAATACTAATTGTTTGCATCTACTCCGATTGTGGATAATAACAAGGCTATGCAGTCAGCTAAGCCATTACCCGCTCCACGCCTCCTACTAAACCCAGCTAGGCTAGCTATATTTACATCCCAAAAGCAGCACACAGCAGCAGCTTCCAAGTGGTAATTGTGGATCATCAGGAGAGGAGACTCAATTCCCGCTCCCAGCCAAGCCCATGACGCTTCTCCAACTATCTCCCCCGCGCCAAGCTGCAACAGTCGCAGCGCATCATTCATCAGCTTCCACAATGGCAAGGACAAGTCAACTATCCGCTATAAAAACTATACATTACCATGGGCTGGTTTCTCAATCCAGGGACCGTTCATGATGTTCAAGATGCTGCACGCGTCGCTATATTCCAAATCAGGCAGCAACTTGGGTGTCAGCAGGAAGCACCTACACAGCAGCAGCCACATTCGATGAACCATACCGACCCATCAGGTTAATCAGTTAGTTACAAGGTCAAACTGTCTGTTGCGCCAAGACTTACTGTGGTGTGTTGAGTTGGCTCGCCGCCCTCACAAGCTGCTGGAACATCTTCCTCTCGTTTATGGGATCCATTCCTACATGCAAGTTTTTTGGGGGTGGACAAGTTAGCTACTGCACCATTCATTCATTCAATCCTGCATGTCTAATAATGTTTACTACTCCCTCGTTCCCAAATATTTGTCTTTCTAGCGATTTCAACAAATGACTACATACGAAGCAAAATGAGTGAATCTACACTCTAAAATATGTCTACATACATCCGTATGTTGTAACCATTTGAAATGTCTAGAAAGACAAATATTTGGGAATGGAGGGAGTAGCACTGCATGGTAAAAAAACAGAGGTATCGCCTTGCCTTGATTTATCTCATCAACCACCCGAAATGGGCAGTTTGTAAGATCTTGGAGCGATACGAGATACAGGATGGTAGAAACTGACCGCTCCTACAAGTGACATGAAAATAAATAGCAACTATAACAACACACAGCAGAGATAAAAAGGTGCAAACAAGATACACATCTGAGACAGACAGCGTTTATCCATACCCCTCCAGATTGGTGATGAGCACTTAGCACCTGCAGCTCACCGGTTTGCCTGTAGCAAAACAATACTCACATTTCATTTTACAAGAAAGAAAATAACACCACAGAATAATGTCCAACAAAAACATTGTAGGAGCCCTTCTTATGCTACATAGCAAACACAGATAGGCAAAAACGGAATGAGTATTTAACAGAAAATCCTATAAGACCAGGCAAATAAATAATATTCTTCTCTGAAACAACACTCGACAGATTGTTTATATCCTACTAGATGAACCGAATGTTGAAAATAACGGATTAACACGCAAGGACCAAGCGTTAACTTGGCTAAAGCTCCTGAGAAATAAGAAATGCTGTAAAAAAAAGGAGTATATGATACAATCATCTATTTCAACATTTTACTTCTTAATAAATAAAACTCAAGAGTGCTTATCACAGGATTATGCTTAAACACATCCTAGAATACAATCAACTCTTGGCAATAAAAAAAGCCTGATAATCATCTGGTATGACTATCTTTTGGGTTTCATCTCCATAAGAGTGGCTGAGTTTTTACGTTGGCTCGCCAAGCCTATCACAACCCTCCTCCTTTACCCGGGCTTGGGACCGGCTATGTTGAGACAACATAGGCGGACAGTTTGGTTTCATGCCTGGGAGGTCGACCATGGAAGCCATTTTCTTGGTACGACAACTTATGGAGAGATATAGGGAGCATAAGAAGGACTTGCATATGGTGTTCATTGACTTGGAGAAGGCCTATGATAAGATACCGCGGAATGTCATGTGGTGGGCCTTGGAGAAACACAAAGTCCCAGCAAAGTACATTACCCTCATCAAGGACATGTACAATAATGTTGTGACAAGTGTTCGAACAAGTGATGTCGACACCGATGACTTCTCGATTAAGATAGGACTGCATCAGGGGTCAGCTTTGAGCCCTTATCTTTTTGCATTGGTGATGGATGAGGTCACAAGGGGTATACAAGGAGATATCCCATGGTGTATGCTCTTTGCGGATGATGTGGTGCTAGTTGACGATAGTCGGACGGGGGTAAATAGGAAGTTAGAGTTATGGAGACAAACCTTGGAATCGAAAGGGTTTAGGCTTAGTAGAACTAAAACCGAGTACATGATGTGCGGTTTTAGTACTACTAGCTGTGAGGAGGAGGAGGTTAGCCTTGATGGCCAGGTGGTACCTCGGAAGGACACCTTTCGGTATTTGGGGTCAATGTTGCAGGAGGATGGGGGTATTGATGAAGATGTGAACCATCGAATCAAAGCCGGATGGATGAAGTGGCGCCAAGCTTCTGGCATTCTCTGTGACAAGAGAGTGCCACAAAAGCTAAAAGGCAAGTTCTACAGGACGGCGGTTCGACCCGCAATGTTGTATGGCGCGGAGTGTTGGCCGACTAAAAGGCGACATGTTCAACAGTTAGGTGTGGCGGAGATGCGTATGTTGAGATGGATGTGTGGCCACACGAGGAAGGATCGAGTCCGGAATGATGATATACGAGATAGAGTTGGGGTAGCACCAATTGAGGAGAAGCTTGTCCAACATCGTTTGAGATGGTTTGGGCATATTCAGCGCAGGCCTCCAGAAGCTCCAGTGCATAGCGAACGGCTAAAGCGTGCGGAGAATGTCAAGAGAGGGCGGGGTCGACCGATTTTGACATGGGAGGAGTCCGTTAAGAGAGACCTGAAGGATTGGAGTATCGACAAAGAGCTAGCTATGGACAGGGGTGCGTGGAAGCTTGCTATCCATGTGCCAGAGCCATGAGTTGGTTGCGAGATCTTATGGGTTTCACCTCTAGCCTACCCCAACTTGTTTGGGACTAAAGGCTTTGTTGTTGTTGTTGTTGTTGTTGTTGTTGAATCATCTGGTATGACTAATCGTGGGTCATGGCTACCCCATCCTACTCCAGGTTTAAGTAAACTAGACATAGGCACTACTACCTCCTTTCCGGTGTATAAGGCTTGTGCGTATCCCTAAATCTATAATTTGACCAACATAAGATGAGTTGTATAGACTAGAAATTATACCATTAGAAAGTATACGATCTGAAGTTTCTAATGATAAATTTTTAGTGATACATAATTTGTATTACGTTGGTCTATTTGTCAACCTAGAGATACGCGCAAGCCTTATAACCCAAAAAGGAGGTAGTAACTGGTGTGGTTGCCATCAGGCATCAAGAAACAGTACAATTTTGAGCAAAGTCCAGTGGTGGCAGTTATTCTTTGCCCAATTGCAAGAAATAATAAAACAGCATGGGAAAAGAAACTTACCTAAACTTCACCTTTATAAGAATACCGTATTGACTAAAATCGAGACCATGCTCATCTGCCAGGAAATTTAGGTACAGCACTTAGCATTACACACAAGTGCACAAATAATGACATAAAACAGATCGGGCATACATACCAAGTGAAACTTCTCCAGCAACAGCCATTTCTTGGAAGTTGCGACTAAAGGTGTCATTTATTTTTAAAACAAGACTTCGGAGAGTTGGAAGCCATTTACCCTACAAAATCAGCAAAGTCAAGTCAGGACTCAGGAGTGACAAGATCGCAAAAGGTTGAGAAGTGATGGCAATATAGGTCATCAGATGAAATGTTTCAACCTTTGTAGTTTCTATTTCAGAGCAGCACCTCTCATATTCTGCTTTATCATCTTCCAGTTTTGTTGATATTGATACAATCTACACAATTGAGATAAGCAATGTCTCAGTAGCTATAATCCATGTAGAACGGGGTCCAAAAAAAATCAATGTAGAAGTAGGCAAGAAGCAGACTGATGAGTAGCTCAAAGGAGCATATTATGATCGGGCACATGAAGAGATTTTCTTTGGCGTGAATCTATCAGCTCAAACTCTGAACGGTTCAAGGTTCCAATCTACCTTTATCTATGCTACTCCCTCCGTCCGGAAATACTTGTCATCAAAATGAACAAAAGGGGACGTATCTAGACGTATTTTACTTCTAGATACATCCCCTTTTATCCATTTTGATGACAAGTATTTTCGGACCCCACCAATGATTCCCTCAGTTACGCTTTAGAGCAAGTTTCAAGAAGCCCAAGTTGATGCGTCTATCGCAAGGCTACTGCTACGTTTGTGACAAGGGAACTCTGCTAAAGTTAACCAAAAACAATGAAAAAGAAATACTCCTGCCGGACAAAAGTACGAAGCAAGAATGCACTCATCAGTGAGTAGATTGTTGTACCTCACGTTGCCGGTTTTGATACTCCTGCAAAACGTTTTGATTGAGGAATAGCATAGAATTTGCTTCCGATTCAGTGTCTTGTATTGCAAGCTCCAGGTCTTCTATAGTAGTAGCCATCTGCAATTAGAAAGGCAATGGAACCGTAAAAAAAACG